TTGGGATTGGGCTTTAGCAGCTACATAGGAGTTTGTCAGGTGGAGCAAGGGAAAGGTATCATTCTAACAAAAAGGAACATTACAGCAGAAAGAAGAGAGCAGGTGCATGCAGGAAGGTCTCATGTTTTGGAGGAAGTGGGTAAATCATGTAACTCTCTGCCGTGGCCACCTTTGCTAGGCTATGCTGCAGGGACAGGTGCTCCACTTCCAGCATGTGTAACAACAAAGGTTATTTTCATGTCGGCAGCAGCTCTCATGAGGCTCTGCAACCTCTTCTTCTGGGGTCCCGGCTGCAGGAGCAGCTGGCTCAGGCCATTCTCAGGCGGAGGGAAGAGCCAGTGGCAGCACTCTCGGTGGCTCCCAAGGCCTCTCCTAGGGAGAGGCCAGACCTGGTGTCAGTGGTGTGAGTGGACCACCCTCTCTGGTGAGAACTGGGAGGCGAGGAGGGCAGGAGATGCTGCAGGAAGCATGGAGCACGCGCGTTCCCGTGAGCCCCAGAGCCTGCTTGGGAGTGTGGCTTCATCTCTGGCCCTTGGGCCTGGGAAGGGCTTCAGTGTGGAGGGGACAGGGTCAGGTGTTCATTCTACGTGGTGAGCACAGAGGAGGGGGAAAGCACAAGGTGTATGCATGTGCCCTTCTGTGTCCCCAGCCATCTCCCATGTGCCTCAGGCCACTGCCCTAACAGAACATAAGAACGCAGGGCATGGCCATGCGTGAGGCTGGCAGCATGCGCAGGGAGATCCAGGCCCAGGTGTAACCTGGTGTTGAGGCACTCCATTCAGCCACTGGGTGGAAATGTAGAAAAAGAAAAATCAGCGAGGACCCCAGCGAGGGAACCCCACTCTGCACGCCTGACCACGTCCCCCTAACTATTGCAGGCTTCACATCAGTCTGGGGGAGAATGGGACCCCTAGAGGTTTGTGACCCAGACCACTGGGTGGTGGACCCACGGCTGTTGCCTTCTGGACAGTCCATTTTGCCGTGATAAGCCTTCCTTTAATGGGAGGGATTTGTCTGTCCGTCTGTGCCTGCCCTGGAAGTTTCATAGCTCAGTCCCTTCACGTTGTCTTGAGTGCGGCATACATTTCAGGGCGGAGCATCCCAGTGTGAAATTCTCCCTCCCCTTCGATTCTCCTGGGTGGATTGATGTGCCCGAGGGTTAAGAAATATTCTGTGCAGCTTGGGCAGAATGATCTTCTCCAACGTTAGGGTCAGGCAATGAAGACTTTCACAGTTCGTTTTTGAGAAATTATGTAGAGAATTAGCCAACGCGTAAGTAACTGTGTTCAGTTAAAGTGAAATCTTCAACTGGAATTAGTGTGCCCTGTGTGTCGCTGCGGGAAATGTCATTCTTGTCTCTCTGTGTTAGGGTCAGGCAATGAAGACTTTCACAGTTCGTTTTTGAGAAATTATGTAGAGAATTAGCCAATGCGTAAGTAACTGTGTTCAGTTAAAGTGAAGTCTTCAACTGGAATTAGTGTGCCCTGTGTGTCGCTGCGGGAAATGTCATTCTTGTCTCTCTGCAACAAGGCCGTGAATGAATGAACGCAGGGCCAGTGAATGAGCTCAGGGCTGGGGGTCTCTCTGTGCCGGGGCTGGTCGCTGTACTTCCCACCCCTGCACATCTGGTGCAGTCTGTGCTTGGCCCTCAGCGGCCACGAACCAGACACTGTGGGGTGAGCGTGTGCTTCGGTACAGGGAAGGGCCTTCCTTCCTGGAGACAGGAGACCCTCTCAGCATTGAGCAGAGCGGGGCTCCCAGTGGGGCTGCTCCTGTGTCCACCTCCTGAGGTCTGTGGGCAGAACCCCCCATGCCAGCCCCTTTGCCCTGAGCCCTTTACACTGTAACATGGGCAGGCACACAGCCCTTTCCCTTTTTTATGGAGCTTGGCTAAACATGATGGATTTTTAAAAGAACATTACTGCATTAAGAACTAAAGGGATATAAAAGAAAAAATAGAAAGGAAAACATCAGGATGATGAACGGACTAGAAAATATGTCACATTAGGAATGGCTGAAGTAGCTCGGGGTGCCCCTCCTGGAGGACAGAAGATCCAGGGGAAGTGCCTGGAAGTGGCTGCAGCTGACGGAGCAGACAGCATGTGCTCCCTGCACTGCGAGCCCCAGAGTTGGGGGGAGACCACAGAGAGGAGAGGGTGGGGGATGGACACGGAGCAGAGGGCAGAGAGCCCCAGGAACGGTGTGGGGTGTGCTGGGTTCCAAAGCTCACCGAGCAGGGTCCACATGTGATTGTTCACTGTCTCCCCAAGGCGGGTTTGTTCTCTGCAGAGCTCAGACGTGGGGCAGGCTCTGAGAGTGAATGGCGGGTAAGGCGCTGGAATGGTGACTGTTGTGTGGATGGGGACCAAGGCACTGGCTGAGCTGTCCAAGTCTCAGAGCAGGACTCACTGGCAGAGCCTCTAACTCAAGGCCTGTGCCCCCTAGCTTGTCCACACAGCCGAGCAAGCCCAGGGCCAGTGCGGTTGTGAGCATCAGGAATCCTAGTTGTCCTGGATATTTCCCATGCAGAGTTAGAACCAGTCCCTGCCATGAAACAGCCTGAGATGGAGACCCTTGGCTTCACCTGCTTGGGCCAGGGGTGGGGAGTGAGGCTGTGCTTGCTGGAGCGGCCCCCAGGAAAAGGAGCCTAGAGCCGCAGCTCAGAGCACCCTGGGCCTGACTCCCTTCTGCAGGGCTCCCAAGGCAGTGGGACACAAAAGTGACACGCTGATTGGCTCTCATTCCTGCTGGCCAGGGTCACATCCTTGAGTCCCATTCCCAAACCCTCCTTCCCTGCCAGCCTTTGAGTGTGCAGACATCGACAAGTAATACCTGGACATGGAGCATCTTCCAGGGCCCCCTCTGTGGCCCTCTAGTCACTGCTGAGTTCCTGCTGACAGTCTCGCTGTGCTGTGGGGAGAGCACTGCAGTGCTCAGGGGCCAGCCCAGGCCTCACAGGGCAGATGGAGCACATTTGGAGGAGTGTTCCTCACCCATTTGGGTGAATGTCTGAAGCAGAGTCCTCAGTGGGCACAGATTTTAGGACCTGGCTTTAGATATGCCCTGCTGTCCCCTGAGACTTCTCCCTGGTGCACCTGCCGCAGCCCTTTCTGGTTTGAATTCTAACTACATCACATCCCTGTGCGTCAGCCTGGACCGACTCCTGGGAACAGGCGTCTGGTCCAGTGAGGGTCTTCTCAGCAGGGCCAGGGGGGTGATCAGTCATTGTACATGCCAAATGTGTGATTGGAACACTACCAGCGTTCCTTTTCTTTTTGCCTTTTCCTTCTCATTCAGAACCCCCCACAAACCTTCTGTTACA